ACATGGCAAAGCGGGGAGGCAGATTCCACAGATCTTTGTATTTCTTTTGCCTGCGATTGCTGGGAGGAGGGTAGGATTACAATAGCAACTTCGCAGAAACATGAATCTCCAAGATCGAACGACAGTTGCCAAGTTCAAAGAACCAAGTTTCTCAGAAAGAGGTGGGTTCACAATTTTGCAGGAGCTTCCTGTGTTTCACTTCCATCTGTAGGAAGCAAGAAATCTGTGCTTCTTCCTTATTAGAGGACCTTTTTTTCCCTACAAAGGGTCTGCTGCTCATCTACTATGAACATTTCCAAGACATACCTAACATGGGCTGTTGTGAGTTTTCCAGGCTGTATGGCCATGTTGCAGAAGCATTCTCTCCTGACGTTTTGCCTACATCTATGGCAGGCATCCTCAGAGGTTATGAGGTCTGTTGGAAACTAGGCAAGTAAGGTGTATATATCTGTGGAATGTCCAGGGTGGGAGAAAAAAAAACTCTTGTCTGCTTGAGCAGAGGCGGCCCTAGATCATTTTCAATGGTAGGCAAACAGTATTTTGGCGCCCCCACCCCCAACCAATCACTGTTTGTCGTGGGAGTTCTGTGTGCCATATTTGGTTCAATTCCATCATTGGTGGAGTTCAGAATGCTCTTTGATTGTAGGTTAACTATAAATCCCAGCAACTACAACTCCCAAATGACAAAATCATTTTTTTAGTGATGGTCACTTGTTGGCCTAATAGGTGTATTGTGTCCAAATTTGGTGTCAATTCGTGCAGTAGTTTTTGAGTTATGTTAATCCCACAAACAAACATTACATTTTTATTTATATAGATGTTGCTGTAATGTATCGTTGGGCTTGGCCTCATATAAGCCACTCTGAGTCCCCTTTGGGGAGATGGTGGTGGGGTATAAATAAAGTTTATTATTATTATTATTATTTGAAACACAATAAGATGAGTCCAAAGAAAACAAGATCACTCTGCTGGCTGTTGTACTGGATCACATGTCGGACACTTCCCATGTGTCTAGGACTGTGTGATGTATCAGCGAATGATGCGTGCAGATCCCAGTAAGGCGGCTTTACTGGGATTAGACCTCACAACCTCTAAGGATGCCCGCCATAGATGTGGGTGAAACGGAGGAAATAATGTTTCTGGAACATGGCCATACAACCCAGAAAACTCACAGCAACCCAGTGAAAGCCTTCGACAACGAATACCTATCATGTTTAAGAATACATTCACTTTTTATTGTTTCCTATTTATTTGCAAGGTATATACAAGATGATCTGCAAAATAATGACATGGCTCAAACAATTAAGTGCAATTGAAGATAAAACATCACTATGGGGCAATTTCCATTCATCTTATTCCAGGTAAGTGGGCTTAGCTATGAAGTAACATTTCAAAGTACCCACCCACCGTGGAGGCTTCATGCAGCATCTCTGCATGGTTTACTCCTCTGGCTTTGTTGACTTCAAGAGGCCTTATGGATGGAACAGCAACATTGCAACAGGTTCAAAAGGAAAACCCAGTCCACCGCAATACACATCTGCTTGCCTATTGTGCCTCTGCATGAGCCAATGCTCTCATGTTGCTTTCATCCAACAGTGAACAATCCACACAGAAACATACAGGAATGTCAGTAATTCTTACTCTTGCATATACCAAAATTATTTTTAAGTACAACAATGAGGGGTGTCCCTAATTTTAATTGAGACACAGACCAAATCAACACATTCAAAATACCTTTAAGCAAAGCTTTCCAAACTGTGTGTGACAACACATTAATAAGACAACAGTTTTCATGAGATATATTGTGCCCCCATCCATTTCGTTAGTGCAATTGTTTGTGTCCATATCTCTTATTAAAGAAGCACTGCCTGAATATCAAGCAAAAGGTGGGTGCTAGAAACAATATCATACGAAAGCTGATTGGCACAACCTGGGGATCACAACCAGACACAGTGAAGACATCTGCCCTTGCGCTATGCTACTCTGCTGCTGAGTATGCATGCCCAGTGTGGAACACATCTCACCACGATAAAACAGTGGATGTGGCTCTTAATGAGACATGCCGCATTATCACGGGGTGTCTGCACCCTACACCACTGGAGAAATTACACTGTCTAGCCGGTATTGCACCACCTGACATCCGCCGGGAAGTAGCAGCCAATAGTGAAAGGACCAAGGCAGTGACATCTCCAGCTCATCCCTTGTTTGGGTATCAGCCAGCACGTCAACGACTTAAATCAAGAAATAGTTTTCTAAGATCTACAGAGACACTCGCTGGAACACCCCAGCAAGCGAGAGTCCAAAAGTGGCAGGCTCAAACCCAGAACCTCAATCAATGGCTGATACCAAATGAGAGACTCCCCCCTGAGCACACAGAAAACTGGGCGACTTGGAAGGTGCTGACCAGACTGCGCTCTGGCACCATGAGATGCAGAGCCAACCTCAAGAAATGGGGCCACAAAGTGGAATCATCGACAGACATGTGAGTGGAGAAGAGCAAACCATTGCAGCCACCTGCTGAATGCAACCTGAGCCCTGCTACATGCACAATGGAGGACCTCCTTGCAGCAACACCAGAGGCACTCCAAGTGGCCAGATACTGGTCAAAGGACATTTAATCAACTACCAAGCATGCAAATTTTGTGTTTTGTCCGTCTGTTTGTTTGTTTTGTTAAAAATGTCATACAACTGTCTGGTTGCTCCTGACAAAATAAACAAATAAATTAAAGTTTGATTTAACTTCCAGTTTGAATTATTGTATAACAAAATGATGCATGTCCAAAAACTATGTCACCAGCATGAATTGTTTGGATAGCTCTGAATTAGGGTTCGACTCTGGTCTGCATTACAGTATGTCTTCCCTTACAGTATCAATCAGCAAAGATGACAAAACAAATACATTTATCCCTAAAATAATCCTGTTACAAGTGAGAAATTAGTCGTGCAGAGCTGTTTTCCCTTTTCAGGCATCCTGCGAACCTGTTTGCACATATATGCACATGTGTGAGGATCTCAAAACTGTATAAATTATAATCTATAGCAGTATTTTCAAGTGAGTCCCCTCCAGAAGCTTTGGACAACAATGCAGACAGGTTCACAGGATGCCTGAAAAGGCAAAGCAGCTCTGCATGACTGGTTTCTCACTTGTGACAGGGTTACTTCAAGGATAAATGTCCAAAATGTTTTGTCCATATTTGCTGATTGCTACTGTTGGTGACACAGTTTTACAAACTATTTACAATATCTTAAAAAGCAAGAAAAAGAAGGTGAAGCATAATAGGGTATAGAGGTATAGTAAGTGCACTAACAATAATATGAATACTACAAAAAATTAAATTAAATTGTGAAAAAAAGACCAAGAAAACCTATTACACAATTGTAATTTAGTCTAAAAGGGGGAAGAAAGAAGAGAAAAATAGTAGAAGAAAAGAAAAGAAAAGAAAAAGATTTCCAATGCTTTCCACCATAGTCTTAATTGTCCTTAATTGTGGGATTAACATAACTCAAAAACCACTGGACGAATTGGCACCAAATTTGGCCACAAGACACGTACTAACCCAAGGAGTGACCATCACTCAAAAAAACTGATTTTGTCATTTGGGAGTTATAGTTGCTGAGATTTATAGTTTACTTACAATCAAAGAGCATTCTGAACTCCACCAATGATGGAATTGAACCAAACTTGGCACATAGGACTTCCATGACCAACAGAAAACACTAGAAGGGTTTGGTGGCATTGACCTTGAGTTTGGGAGTTGTAGTTCACCTACAGAGAGCACTGTGGACTCAAACAATGATGGATATGGACCAAACTTGGCACAAATATTCCATATGCCCAAATATGAACACAGATGGAGTTTGGGGGAAATCGACCTTGTCATTTGGGAGTTGTAGTTACTGGGATTCCTAGTTCACCTACAATCAGAGAGCATGCTGAACCCCACCAATGACAGAATTGGGGCAAATTTCCCACATAGAATCCCCATACTTAAGGCCATCCAGTCCAACTCCCTTCAACAGGACAAGAAAACATAATCAAATCCCTCCTGACAAACAGCCATCCATACATACAGATATATCAATAGATATATATAATTCACATACAGAGAGATATAGTTTCATAGATTTGAAAGGGGCCCCTGAAGAAGGACAATTATATGTTGCATGTTCCAGAGTAGGTAAACCAGACACACTCCACATCAACACTGACAAACAAGGAAACAACAAGAAATACTGTTTATCCACAAGCCTAAAGAAATTACATATATTACAAACCAACACCTTCTCATTACTTTATTTTCCAGATCACCAGACTGGGCCACAGCGTGTGGCAGGGGATGACGTGTGTGTGTGTGTGTGTGTGTATTCTGCAGCGTTGCTTTCCCCTCTTCAGTATCTTACTGGGTGACAATTTTCACTTAATTTTCAATAAGGTTCAATATTTTCAGTAAGATTCACTTAGCAATTTTATTTTTCATGTTTCATATAGTCTTTTATTGCCGCCCAATCCATTGTATTCTTATATCCATCTGAAGATTTGTTTAATAATTGGGTTAGTTTATTTGCATTCAGTGGCACAATAATTCAGACTGGAAATTAAACCAAACTTTTATAAGAGATATGGACACAAACATAAATTGCAATAACGAAATGTATGGGACACAATATATCTCATGAAAACTTTTCATTTATAATTTTTTTTAAATCTATTGATTTATTGCTTATCATGATCACCCAAAACATCTAAAGGGCATAGGGTTTTGGAAGGTTGGTTTATACTATCAAGTTTTCTATCACTCTTTCGACATACATTTTGTTTAGAAGAGCATGAGAAGAATTGGACTAGAACAAATCAATTGCCTATTTGATCCAGCATCTTCCTCCCATAACAGCCAAACTGGGTGGCTTACAAGCATCCATCCTGCCCTGCAAGTGATATTCAGAGGCATGCTAAAGGTAACAAATAGCCATCATGGTTAGCAGTATTATTCCTGACTTACAGGGGTTCTGTGCACAAGCCAATAAGCGTTCTCTTGACAATCCAGAGCATATCGGTCTTCCTTCTTTCGATCTTTCCCAGTCCTGCAAAGTCAGGAAGACAGTGGTATTATCACAGATAAAGGAAGAGACAGCTGTCTTAGTGTGTCACAACATAAAACATTTAAAAAGGGATTAAAAAGGGATTTAGCAGCACCTTTGAGAATGACTGGTTTATTTTAGCATGAACATTCATAGTGGGTGGAAATCTATGAAAGTTCACACTATAAAAAAATCAGTCCTAAAGTCACCGCTAAACTCCTCCTTCTGCCCCATCTCTTTTGCATCTTGTTTCTTTATTTGAGGCCATTACATTAGATTTCTCTGGTTTGTAAATTGGCCAAAGCAAAGTTGTCCAGATGCCCGACCACCGTCTCCCAAAGCCGTTGCTCTACTCCGAACTCAAGAACAGAAAACTGAATGTTGGTGGGCAGGAAAAGAAATTTAAAGATGGGCTCAAAGCCAACCTTAAAAACTTTGGCATAGACACTGAGAACCAGGAAGTCCTGGCCCTTGATCACTCCAGCTGGAGGTCAGCTGTGACCAGCAGTTCTGAAGAATTTGAAGAGGCATGAATGGAGGACGAAAGAGAGAAACATGCCAAGAGGAAGGCACATCAAGCCAATCCTGACCAAGACTGCCTTCCACCTGGAAACCAATGCCCTCACTGCAGGAGAAGATGCAGATCAAGAACAGGGCTCCACAGTCACCTACGGACCCACCAGAATACTGATCCTAGAAGATTATCCTACTCAGCCAATGAGGGATCACCTAAGAAGAAGAAGAAGAATAGAAGGGAGGGCACTGCTTAAATCTTATGATGTCAGACGCTTACTGCCACGCAAGAGATCACATAATGTCAAAATACATTGTTCAGTACTTTAGATTAGGGATAGCTACTCTGATTGTTCCTAAGTTTAGCAGATTTTTTTTAGAATTGTCTGGCATTTTAGGATTATTTTTGGGTTTATTTTACTGAATATGCAATATTCTTCAACTCATAACTGTGTAAACAACGAGTGCTATCTTTACCTATGTACACTCCTGCTAAGCCTTTTCTAATGGGATCTGCAGGCACATTGGTCTTATAACTCTTTCTAGTCTCCACACTTCCTCTGCCCTACTTGCTGATGTAGCAGTGAAAAACACCCCCTGCTCCTCTCCTCTCCTACCCATTGAGCCCAAAAGTGGCTCTGCTAAGGGATGTAGCAGAGACATGCAGACATGAGCTCTTACAGGGTGCAAGGGGAGGAAACCGGCACAAAGCTCTGCACCAATTGATGAGGAGGACACCAATCTGCACCAACGGATGAAAAGGACAGTGACCCTAAGGCTGCAGACCAATGTAATCAGTCCCCGGTGGCGCAGTGGGTTAAAGCCCTGTGCCGGCAGGACTGAAGACCGACAGGTCGCAGGTTCGAATCCGGGGAGAGGCGGATGAGCTCCCTCTATCAGCTCCAGCTCCTCATGCAGGGACATGAGAGAAGCCTCCCACAAGGATGATAAAACATCAAAAATCATCCAGGCGTCCCCTGGGCAACGTCCTTGCAGACGGCCAATTCTCTCACAACAGGATGTTCCCGACACGACAAACAAAAAAGCTCCTCTGGTCCCACCTATCGGTCAGACATGAATGCAATTGCTGAGTTCTCCCACCTTCCTCAGAGCCCAACAGAGACTGATGATCAGGGAATGATCTTGCTTTCCAAACGTCATTTAGAGTCTCTCACATGAGGCAGTCATATCACAATTTCAGCCAAACAGCCGCTTTCTCTTGAACCTCTTGCATAATGTTGCTCCTTCCCTGCTGCTCTCCCAGTGGATGGCCATTGGAAGGCATTTCTTTTACAAAAGGAGGGCAGTCACCAATTATTTGCATTTGTAAAAGAAACATTTTCTAGGCTGTTTCCATCAGGAGAGGCAGGAAAAGAGCAATGTCGTGAGATAAGTCAAAGGAAAACAGCTATCTAATTGGGATTTGCCTGCCTCATGTGAGACATTCCTTAGGCAAGTATTTACCATTTCAAATATTTTATCCATTCTGCATTGCTTCAGCCCCCCTGGTTGAGATGTGAAAACAAATGTCACATACACACACACAATCCTAATGTTTCAGTCCTTAGCGAGGCAAAAATAATTCTTGTCTCTCTCTCACACACACACACCTCTAATATTGCAGCACTTAGTTAGCCAAGAATAACAGTATAGAGTATAGAGCAGGGGTCCTCAAACTGTGGCCCACGGAGCCCTTGAGGTTCTGCAGATGATAGTGAGGTGCTCCGCGGTGCCATGCTGCTTTCCACTTTCTCTTCTTTCCTACTCCTGAGAAATGCAGGGAAATTAAAGTTTAGAGCTGCCAGAAACAGCAGCAGCACAGACCCTTTCTTCCCCACCTCCCTCACTACCTTTCCCTTCCCTCCCTCCCTCCTTCCCTCCCTCAGGTTTCTGTTGTTGTTGTTGTTGTTGTTGTTGTTATTATTATTAATTTCAAAGGCTTGCATGACCATCTGTTGGGGGTGCTTTTATATGCCTTTCCAGTAGTCTCTCTCTCTCTCTCTCTCTCTCTCTCTCTCTCTCTCTCTCTATATATATATATATATATATATATATACATATATATAATATGGCCAACTTCATTGAAGTACTTTGGCCACATCATGAGAAAACAGGAAAGCTTAGAGAAGACAATGATGCTGGGGAAAATGGAAGGAAAAAGGAAGAGGGGCCAACCAAGGGCAAGATGGATGGATGGCATCCTTGAAGTGACTGGATTGACTCTGAAGGAGCTGGGGAAGGTGACAGCCGATGTGGGCTGGTCCATGAGGTCACGAAGAGTTGGAAATGACTGAACAAATGAACGACATATATAAATCACCATTTGTATGATTACACTGGCCAACACACATTTTGGTGCCTCAAGTATTAGCCCTCATTCTGGGTATATATGACCTGCTGATTCCAAAAATGGCACCAGTTTCCCTCTATCAGTGCTAGTTTTTGAGTTACAGAACATCTGGTATATACCAATTGTCATCTGCTCATCATAGAAAATTGTAATAACCATATCTAAGAAACTACATCTGATGCGGTCTATGCAATGCAGTTTTCTGAATCAGCACCCCAAATAAATCAAGAAACTGGTCTGAAAACCAAGACACCAAGTTTTTGTTGTTGTTGTTGTTGGTAGGACTTAACATACACTAATTTAGTGACAGTTAAGTACAAGAACAAAAATAGAGATCATTGTAAATTGACACATCGATGTCAACTTCTGAAGGCCTTGAAATGGGTTGAAATTCCTTGTTGATGCTACATATTGCTGACAGCCTCCCTCACACATAAATTAGAAATTGGAAACCCAAAAAAGCATGAAATGAATGACTCACCTATACTGCTGTGTTGCCTGCATAATAACAAAGTCCCATTTGTGGTTGATTTTTTGGTTCAGCATGTTATAATGTTCCTGGGGGGAAAAATCAAAAGTAATATTGAGACAGAAACAAAGGCAGGTTTCCATTTTGCTCTCACATCAATGTGCCTACAGTACTTGACTGTGCGTGTGGACTAAACACAGAAGAGGATAGATTGGAAAGATTTCTCAAGATAGGTTAACAATATAAACCCCTGCCGTTGTAGTAACGTGATGCATACTGATATTTTTAACCAAGAAAGAAGAAAAAGCAACACTCACATTTGTGATTTCATGCGCAATGAGTTATACCTTATCTAACTTATAGGATTGCTGCTAATTTTGATAGTTTGTATCTGAGTCACAGAAGCAAGGCAGTTGTCTTATTTGGTAGCGGCTTGAAACTGCTTTGACTGCCATGGTCCATTTTATTGAACCTTGACATTTATACAGTTCACTCATCACATTTACTGGGGTTATGTCCACAGGACTCTTGCGAAAGTGGGAAAATCACAGGTAAGGAAAAAACTATATATATATTTAAAGAAGAGAACAGCTCTAGGAATCTCTCGATTCTCCAGCACAATGTTATGGACAATTTCCACTTGAAGTTGACTAAAGAATCCCACTGGAGGACCTACAAATGCCTAGAGATGTGTCCTCTCAAGGACTCTCTAGGTCTGTGGTTCTCAACCTGTGGGTCCTCAGGTGTTTTGGCCTACAACTCCCAGAGATCCCATCCAGTTTACCAGCTATTAGGATTTCTGGGAGCTGAAGGCCAAAATAGCTGGGGACCCACAGGTTGAGAACCACTGCTCTAGGTTCCCTAGTGAGACTTCTGATGGCAGTGGACCACAATCTTGCACTGGAGGGCCTAGAGATTCCTAAAGAGATCATACTAATCAAATCCGCAAAAGTCAGACCCGCAAATATGGAGGACTGATTGTAATTTCATAAGGAACTTATAATTTTCTATGAGGTGGAGAAGTGACTTGTTCTTATTAGAAAAATGTCTTTTGTCAATTTTTCAAAGACTGAGGGCTGTTTTTGACATAAAGAGAACAGAAAAGGGGGAAAAATGACACTTTGGGGGTTTGAATTTTTTTTTGTTATGGTTCAAAGATAGAAGTGTAACTTTATTTGGTGTAGAAGTGAGCTATATTATTGCATTTATGTCATTGGCTTGGAGAGCAAGAAAGCAAATTTTAATTTATTGGTAGGATTTGTAGGGTAGTTTGTAACAGGTAGTAATTGGTTTTGTGTGTTTAATGTTGAGTGTTTTTCTTTTCTCTTTGCTGTATTGTGTTCATTTATTTTCTGTAAATTATAGATTGTAATGTACAGTGTTCTCTTTCATATAGATAGATAGATAGATAGATAGATAGGAATAGATATAGATATTAGAGACAACACTATACATTACAATCTACAATCTACAGACACACACACATTCATACTTCTGTTAGGGAGCTCTAATGCACTTCCCTTAATTATAGGGGCTGTGGTAGTACAATGGGTTAAACCCTTGTGCTGCTGAACTGCTGACCTGAAGGTTGGCAGTTCAACTCCTCAGGATGGGGTGAGCTCCCTGTTAGCCCTAGCTCTTGCCAACCTGAAAACATGCAAATGTGAGTAGATAAATAGGTATTGCTTAGCCAGGAAAAGGCAAAAAAATGCTCCAAGCAGTCATGATGGCCACACAACCAGGAGGTGTCTATGGATGCATGCTCCTCGGCTTGGAAATGGAGAAGGAACACCTTCCCCAGAGCCTGAGATGAGCACCATCTCCAAACCAGAAATGAAAGAAGTCGTCTTTGCCTTTGTCTGTGTATTTGTGTTTCATTGTATGTCATTTGTAACAAGGCATATAATGTTTGCCTGTGTCTGTATATATACTGCAATCTGCTCTGAGTCCCCTTGGGGAGAACGGCGGAATATAAATAAATTATTATTATTAGTATTATTATTATTATTATTATTATTATTATTATTATTATCATATAGAACTACTAGAACATTTTGGGAAAGACTTTTAAGCCACTTGTGCACATACAGATCCCAGTATACCCTGGGATTGGCCTATGATAGCTAAAGTTATATAAAACTTCTGAAAGTGAATAATATAAATACACTCCCATCTGACCATGGGTCTTTGGAAGTGGGAGCTAGCCATTCCCATGTCATGAACTATCCAAGGTGCTGAATATCCAAAGTGTATGTGTATCAATGTATTGTCGAAGGCTTTCATGGCCGGAATCACCAAAATGCTTCAGGAGCTCCTCCCATGACAGTGCGTGAAAAAACTCGCTTGGAGAAGTTCCGGCAGCTTCTTTCCAGCACCAACACAGATCTAGATGAATTGAGGAAATGTAGCTGGCCTGGTGTTCCCAGAGAAGTCCGTCCTGTGACATGGCGACTTTTATCAGGTTACCTTCCTGCCAGTATGGAGCGGAGGAAACTGACCTTGCAGCGCAAGCGAGAAGAATATTTTGGTTTCATTGAGCAGTATTATGACTCTAGAAATGAGGAGCATCATCAAGATACATACCGACAGCTCCAGCAGACCTCACCTCTGAGGATGCCTGCCATAGATGCAGGCGAAACGTCAGGAGAAATGCCTCTAGAACATGGCCATATAGCCCGAAAAAAACCACAAGAACTGTATGTGTATCTCTCATAAACACACCTGCAATGATTTGAGCATCTGGAGTAGTTCCTTTGCAATTCAAATTAAAACAAGAGTGGGCTCACTGCTCCCTGGCACAGCCAAGATTCCTATTGAAGATTTTACTTACTTGAGTAAGCCAGCAATGTTCCCACACACATTATAACTAACTTAAATAATTTAGCAAACTGAAATGAAGGGACATGTCTTTTGGCTGAAGGCACCTAGATTCTAATAGCATATAATGCTTAACATGCTATAACAATAAAGATAGTAGTCCACTGTCTTGCATCGCTACTAATGCCAAAAGCATGTCTGTAGAAATAGAAATGCAATGATAGCACTAGAATTGCTGCCACCCAGTGTGCTAACTCATAGTCTCATGAACCTCCTCCTGTACCAGACCATGCTACAATATTGTAGCTGAAATTCCAGAAAATTTGATTGTTGTTGTTCATTCGTTCAGTCATCTCCGACTCTTCGTGACCTCATGGACCAGCCCACGCCAGAGCTCCCTGTCGGCCGTCACCACCCCCAGCTCCTTCAAGGTCAGTCCAGTCACTTCAAGGATGCCATCCATCCATCTTGCCCTTGGTCGGCCCCTCTTCCTTTTACCTTCCACTTTTCCCAGCATAATTGTCTTCTCTAGGCTTTGCTGTCTCCTCATGATGTGGCCAAAGTACTTCAACTTTGTCTCTAGTATCCTTCCCTCCAGTGAGCAGTCGGGCTTTATTTCCTGGAGGATGGACTGGTTGGATCTTCTCGCAGTCCAAGGCACTCTCGAACTTTCCTCCAACACCACAGCTCAAAAGCATCGATCTTCCTTCGCTCAGCCTTCCCTAAGGTCCAGCTCTCACATCCGTAGGTTACTACAGGGAATACCATGGCTTTGACTAGGCGGATCTTTGTTGCCAGTCTGATGTCTCTACTCTTACTATTGTATCGAGACTGGACATTGCTCTCCTCCCAAGAAGTAAGCGTCTTCTGATTTCCTGGCCACAGTCTGCATCTGCAGTAATCTTTGCACCTAGAAATACAAAGTCTGTCACGGCCTCCACATTTTCTCCCTCTATTTTCCAGCTGTCAATCATTCTTGTTGCCATAATCTTGGTTTTTTTGACGTTTAGCTGCAACCCAGGTCTGTTCCAGTAATTTCTAACATCTTTTGACCTCAGACACTTTAAAGGGAGTTAAAGGAAGGGCTGGGGAACAACAAGCTTTACCTCAGGTATAACATCAAGATAAATTCTCAAATCTATTTGAGTGGTGGCAGTAATTCTACCAATACACATTCACGTTTCCTCAATATACATCGAGCTGTGTGGCAGGATTGTGTTGGTGTCCAGTGGGAGCCTTAGGAAATAAAATCCTCTACTCTGATCCTTCACAGAGTGCATGAGCATTAGAAGACTCAAAACATCCATTAGCATAGAGTTTTTGCCTAGTAGGAATATTTTATACACAATCATTTTGATATCATCCATTCTAATGGTGTCACTCTTTGCAGTTTGTACCACTTCACTTCTCCCGATTAAGCTTACACAACCAAACACAGTATCTTCCTACCTTTTCATATTCTTCAAGAACTCCTTTCCTCTTAATATTTTTCTTGGCTAGGAAAATAGCTGCAGATGGAAGAAAGAAAAATAAAGACATCGTGTTTGCACAACTTCAAAAAACAAAATCTGTGTTCAATGAGATGGCCCTTGTTGCAAACCTGCAGAAATAATCATGAATGGCTTATTTTCCAGAGATGCAACTGTGCCCTGGGAGCATTTGGATGCCCCCTTTAAGGCTTGACTCCACCACATGCCAAACTAGAACCGTTTATTTCTCTAGCTTTTTCCTGATGTATTGTCGAAGGCTTTCATGGCCGGAATCACTGGGTTTTTGTAGGTTTTTTCGGGCTATATCGCCATGGTCTAGAGACATTCTCTCCTGATGTTTCGCCTGCATCTATGGTAGTGAGGTGATGTGTTCCTGCAAGGTTTTCACCACACATGTGGAAAAGAGAGTACTAACTGCAGTTATATTGGCAGTCAATAATTCATAGGGGAATGGCTTTTAAAAGAGTGCAACTGCCTGAGTGTGAGTGTCTGTAGTGTGATCCCGCATGCAGAAGTATGTCCAGCAAAGCAGGATCCTATACATCTTGCATCATAACAAGAATTTGTCATTAAATCCCCAGACAACTGCTTCTTATTTAGTCAGGAGAGGGTTGGCTAAAGTGCTTTGGATTTTGAAGAGGCACGAATAGAGGACGAAAGGGAAAAACGTGCCAAGTCAAAGGTGCATCAAGCAAACTGCCTTCCATCTGGAAATGTATGTCCGCACTGCAAAAGACCATGTGGATCAAGAATAGGTCTCTACAGTCATTTGTTAACCCACCACTAATGCTCTCCACTTGGAATACAATCATACTTGGTCACAAGTGATAGTCTATGACAGCATTTCTCAACCAGGGGGTTGGGACCCCTGAGTGGGTCACAAGGGATGTTAGAGGGGTCACCAAAGACCACTAGAAAACACAGTATTTTCTGTTCATCATGGGCTTCTGTAAGGAAAGTTTGGCCCAATTCTATCATTGACGGGATTCAGAATGCTCTTTGATTTTAGGTGAATTATAAATCCCAGTAACTACAACTCCCAAATGTCAAGGTCTATTTTCCCCAAATTCCATCTGTGTTCATATTTGGGCATATGGAATATTCATGCCAAGTTTGCTCCAGATCCATCATTGTTTGAGTCCACAGTACTCTCTGGATGTAGGTGAACTACAACTCCCAAACTCAAGGTCAAAGCTCATCTATTTTCCCCAGTATTTTTTATTGGTCATGGGAGTTCTGTGTGCCAAGTTTGGTTCATCTCCATCATTGGTAGAGTTCAAAATCCTCTTTGATTGTAGGCGAACTATAAATCCCAGCAACTGCAACTCCGAAATGACAATATCAATCCCCTCCGAACCCCACCAGTATTCAAATTTGGGGATATTGGGTATTTGTGCCAAATTTGGTCAAGTGAATGAAAATACATCCTGCATATCGGATATTTACATGACGATTCATAACAGGAGCTAAACAACAGTTATGAAGCAGCAACTAAAATAATGTTATGATTGGGGGTCACCACAACATGAGGAACTGTATTAAGGGGTCACAGCATTAGAAAGATTGAGAACCACTGGCCTATAATGATTAAAACCTCTTTGAATGAAATAGTTACTGTAGATATTCATGTATAAGTCAACCCCATGTATAAGTCAAAGCTTGATGTTTTGATATTATTAAGGTACATTGACCGATTTAAGTAGTTTTGGGTGGTTGATTTTTTAAACTAAAATTTCTGGACTGTAAATGACTTGTAAATTCACAATTTAAACAGGAGATATTTAACCCAGCTACAGAATAAAAAATGGCACACAGGTAATTAATAGCAACATGAAAAAGAAAAAGTATACTCATTTCAAAATACAGTCTATGCCAGGCATGACAAAACTGTTTAGAGATTTGGTTTCAGTTCTGCACATTTCTTTTTATTATTACCGTTATTTTCCCTATCATGTTTTGCTTTAATTAAGGCAATTTTGGGAAATCTTGTGTCTCAACAATATGACAAAGTATAGTGAGGAATGGAGGCAGATATAGAAAATGTGAATTGCGGTTGCTAAGGCAACTAGTGAAAATAGTTCACAATGGGTTATTTGGGGGAGGGGGTCTAATTTACAAGAATCCACACAGGTTCATGGTCTTGATTCATTCAAAACTATGTTAACTCTTTCAATCTATCTTTTAAAAACTTTTTAACTGCTTTAATGTGTTATTTTAACCTCTTAAACTGTTTTAAATTTGTCAGACTGCCCTGAGATCTCTGGATTGAGAGCGGGATAGAAATATTTCAAATAATTAAACAAATAAGCAACATTTGGAGACTCTGATCCACCAACCAAATTCAGGGCCTTCTCAGTGATTGCCCCCTGTCTATGGAACTCCCTTCCTAGCAATATTAAATCAGCCCCTTCTCTCCTGTCCTTCAGAAGGATGGTGAAGACCTGGCTATGGGACCAAGACTCTGGGGCAGTGCAATGAGGCAATAATAGAATGATGTCCTGAGATGGTTTTAAACAGTTGAGTTTAAAGTTGATATAAATAATAGAATCATAGAGTTAGAAGAGACCTTGCGGGCCATCCAGTCCAACCCCCTGCAAGAAGCAAGAAATCGCATTCAAAGCACCCTGACAGATGGCCATCCAGCCTCTGTTTAAAAGCCTCCAAAGAAGGAGCCTCCACCACACACCGGGGCAGAGAGTTCCACTGACAGCTCTCACAGTCAGGAAGTTCTTCCTAATGTTCAGTTGGAATCTCCTTTCTTGTAGTTTGAAGCCATTGCTCCACATCCTAGTCTCCAGGGCAGCAGAAACCAAGCCTGCTCCCTCCTCCCCATGACTTCCCCTCCCATACTTATACAAGTGATTTTAATGTTTGTGTATATTTATAGTTTATGTCCCGGCATTGAATGTTTGCTGTATACATGTTGTGCTCCGCCCTGAGTCCTTTGCAGGGTGAGAAGGGCGGAATATAAATGTTTCAAATAAATAAATCTGGGTTGTTGTAGGTTTTTTTTCAGGCTATATGGCCATGTTCTAGAGGCATTCTCTCCTGACGTTTCGCCTGCATCTATGGCAATCATCCTCAGAGGTAGTGAGGTCATCACTACCTCACTACCTCTGAGGATGCTTGCCATAGATGCAAGCGAAACGTCAGGAGAGAATGCCTCTAGAACATGGCCATATAACCCGAAAAAACTACAACAACCCAGTGATTCCAGCCATGAAAGCCTTCAACAATACAATAAATAAATCTCAACATTGATCATAAGTATGATTTTAATACTCTGAATTATCTACGTGTAGGAGGATCTCCTAGGACTTTGGCACTCGAAACTAGAGGTAGAAGATTGCATTTGATATTAGACGGACCAGCTCTTCCTAAATATAATCACCCAAGCATTATGATCTGCTTGGAAGATTCTCGGCACTGTCTACCAGTGGCAGGAGGAGATCAGTTGGAGATACAGAAAAGGACAATCAGCAGTATCTTAACCTCCAAATTCTGGGTTCTCGGAGGCACCACTAGCATTGGCTTCAATTTTGCTGGAGTGACAAAGTAAAGCTAATTCATCAAAGTTTTTGGAGACCAGCAACATGGCTTGCATGAATTTATCCAGACTGGACAAGTGTAGTAAGATATGGTGGTGTTAGTTACTGTATTTGAACTTTTCTTTCATCCTGATGTGTTTACCTTGCATTGCCATCAACTGCAGCACATTTCAAATTACAGACCCATGTGTGTCTTTACTGTTTGGGTTCATTTGAGGTTTGGGCACTATCTGATGACTTGTTAATTTTTCAGGCTTTTTTAGTATATGCACACTTCATTTCCTCACCTTGCTCAGTACAGAAAACTTGTCACGCACCCCCAGAGAAAGCTATTTCTTTCAAAAGATTCTTCCAGCACTTTTTGTCAACACAAGTCACCCACTCACACCTGCACACTCCTTAAGTGAAATGAAACACTGGAGAAGGCCAACAGCACCCCAAATTTTCCTTCAGTCCTCAAATTTAAGATTGCAGTAACTTCAGTTGAGCTTTAGAAGATATAAGTATCCAAGAAAAAAAAGCTGGCATAATTATGAAGGGGATATAAATACAGGTCTTTTTATATAGGTGGGTAAAGGTAAAGGTTTTCCCCTGACATTAAGTCCAGTTGTGTCCAACTCTGGGGGGTTGGTGCTCATCTCCATTTGTAAGCCAAAGAGCTGGCGTTGTCCGTAGACACCTCCAAGGTCATGTGGCTGGCATGACTGCATGGAGTGCCGTTACCTTCCTGCTGGAGTGGTACCTATAGATCTAATCACATTTGCATGTTTTCGAACTGCTAGATTGGCAGGAACTCACCTTGCTCCCCGGATTTGTACCTGTGACCTTTTAGTAAGCAAGTTCGGTAGCTCAGCAGTTTAACTTACTGTGCCACCGTGGCCCCTATTTGATATAGGGTGGGACAGAAATATTATCGTCCATGAACCTAGTATGTTAATACACATATTCAAATGCCATCATACATTTAAAAAAAACTTCTTGTCTGTGGAATTCTGCTACGCAAGGTGGAGGACTTATAGCCTAGACATTTTACTAAAGTGTGTCATTATGTGTGATCTCTCACAATTATGACTGAAACTGAGGGTTTTTCAGCTATAGAAACCTGCTGTGTGATCTTTGAGAAGTCATATTCTTTCAGCCTCACAGGAAGGCCCATATCAGAGGAGTTTGCTCTCCATTTCTGACTGAAATAGTAGCTGGAATGAAGAGTGAAGACTCCAGAGTCAAGATAAATGTACACTTTTCCTTCAGAGATGATTGCACATGCAAATACTATTAGAATTCTACTCTAAAGGAACATTTCCCAGGATTGTTGAAGGTTTTTCGGGCTGTACAACCATGTTCTAGAAGCTTCTAGAACATGGCCATACAGCCCGAAAAACCTACAACAACCCAGTGATTCTGGCCATGAAAGCTTTCAACAATACATTTCCCAGAATGCACCTGTCATTTAGTTTCAACATGAAGATAGAGAGAGTCCCACCACTATTAGAACTTACCATAGTCTGTATCATCTGCTGCCCATTGTTGTGTTGGCCAAAAGTAGGGTGTCTGCAGAAAAGAAGAATCACAAAAAGTTATCAATATGTTAACAACCATGTTTTCTTCAACCGTTCTAGAAGCTGTCATCATCCTGTATGGTGTTGTTGCAAATGTACCCACTCAACCAAAACAATTTATCTTCCTTATCTCAGCTTCATCTTTTTTTTTTACTTGCTCCTCCACACTGCTGGAATAATCTCCCTAAACAGCTGCAGACTGCTCCTTCCCATTTTGTTTTTAAACCTCTATTTAAACATTTTTAAAATTATCATTATCCTACTTTTATCTCCAGATTGAGATGCAAAACAGCTCACAACATTAAAAAAAACCCATGCAATCTTGTTTATTTGCTTTTTTTCTTCTCCTGAATACCTGAGTCCAGCTCTCTTTGCTCAATGGCCCATTACTTTGGTCAACATACCATATTTCAAGGCCACATTCCCACCCCCAATTTTTTTTGGAGAGTAAGGGGAAGGGGGCGACTATTACGTGGTGAAAAAAAATGCAGCTACAGAACTTCCCTCTGCTGGTAGCTGCGATAAATCCTGTAGTTGCAATGCCACCGGCTCACCCATGGGTGAGAGTTATGGGGCATCCCTCAGCTGGTGACAGTGGGTACATGATCAAGTGAGTCTTCACCTACCCAAGCACCTACTGGTGGGAACTGTGTGGTTTTCCTTGGCTGGTGGCAACCAAGGAAAGTCCCATAGTTCTCATGCCTTTATTCACCATTGAAGCTGCCCCCTGAAGCTACGGGGTGCGACTATTATGTGAGGAACTCAAAAATCCCAGTTTTATCACCTCAATAACTGGGGTACAACTGTTACACCATAACGATTATTATACAATGAAATCCAGTATTATACAACTCCGGAAATTGTGTGTGTGTGTGTGCAGATACATACATACATATATATTCACCATGTAAGGTAAAATAATAAAATAAAAATGGATTAATTAAAAAAGAAGATGGGCAGGGCATATAGCATGAACAAAAGACAACCAATGGACATGTCAACTAACAAACTGGATACCAAGAGACCACAAGCAGCCTTTGGGCAGACCTCGTACTCGATGGGATGAACCAACGGTTAAGCTATTTGCCCAGAAAATAAAAGCACAGGATCGTATATTTTGGCAAATGATGGATTTGTGTGAAACCCAAAGGAGTGGACTGACAACAAATCAGATAGGATTAATATATTAAATTTAATTATATCTGTATTTTTTAGTGAAGCCCCTGAGGAAGATCAACTCTGTTAGTCACCAAAATGTATTGGGCCTTTAAAAAATAAAAGCAAATGACCATCTATCAGTGCATCTCCTGATCAGCTTTAACTTTCAAACTTGTTCATCAGTTCTCTAATTGTGACTGGACAGCAATCTCAACATCACTCACCATTAGCATTGAAGGCTAGGCCTGATGGGAACTAAAGTCCAACTTCTGCGGGACCATGTTTCCCCATCTCAAAATCCCATTGGTGTAAATCCCAATATCCCAATATCTCACCCACTCACCTGAAATCTGTAGAGACTGCTGTCTGGTCTGAGAGTGAGATTCTTTGGGCTCTGAAGAGGATAGATGTATCCATACTGGATAAACAGGCACCCCAAGTTGAGGGCTTCTAAAAAGAGAGTTTGCTAGTTTCATTAGTATATACACAGTAGAGCCAAACATTAAGAAACAACCACTATTTGGATGATTGTAGACATTGCAAACCGCTATCCTCACCATACCATGAATGTCTATCAAATAATCAGCTGACTTTATGACCTTACCCACCTTCATTTGTAATCTGCAGGCGCTGAGCGAGCCACTGTAATATATCAATACCTGCAAGGCAAGGATAATAGCGTAAATCATCTGAAACAAGATTTTTCACATTCTAACCTCAGTGGCTTTCTAGCAGTAACTATACAGATGCCTTGAGAAAAGAACCAGCCCATCCAGTCATCTGCCTTTCATGAAGTGGGATATGGTCACTCATGCAATCATATATTTACAAGTCATTTATTTGCAATAGGACTCTTCAAATACAGACATGAAACAGCCATGAGATAATAGGCTGCCAACAGAAAATCATCTTTTTCAGGGAGATTAAAATGGCTAGAAAAGAGGACTGCTGCATATAGTGCATGCACATGGCACTCATTCATCCTGATGACAGATTTTGAAAATTTTCGTATCATTCCAAATGCTCACAAAATCTGATTGAGTAGTGAGAAGAGTAGCATAACAGCAAATAAGACTTCCAATGAATACTAGGTGCTGTAGGCTATATTTCAGAGGAGATTTCTTGCCAAAGAAGATCCTATGGAAATCTTGGGTTTGCCTTAAGTCGACAGGTGACCTGAAGGCACATACATACAACCTTATGAGAAAATCTCTGATCAAGAAAGATTCAAAGAATAGATGGAATGGTTGCTTACCTGTAACCATGTTTCTTCAAGTGGTCATCTGTGTAATTTGCAGTTATGTGCAACTTTCACAGAACCCACAAAGAAGAAAAATAGTTCACTGATAACCTCCCAAGGGGTAGAGTAGATGTGTAATTGCAGCTCATGCTTAATGGCAGGGATGGGGATGATAAAGATCTCCAGAAGTGGTTAGACTGCAGCTCACATAATAATAATAATAATAATAATAATAATAATAATAATAATAATAATAGTAATACTTTATTTATACCCCGCTACCATCTCTCCAAGGGACTCGGTGCGGCCTACATGAGGCTGAGCCCATAATACATCAGCAAAAAACAACAACAGTAATACAAACAATAAAATAAAACTCATAAACAAAAAATAGGCAGTAAACATCGACAATAACACAATAATATTTAAAAACCAATGGCTGGGCCAAATGTAATAGTTAAAATTTTAAAAATAATGCTGGACAAGACCAGGTGAAATATAATTAGGATAGAATTTCGGAAAAGAATGGGGCGTACAGACAATTCTAGATCACTAATAAAATGCAATTAGGGACATATTGCTGAGAGTTTCCTTATTCTGGGAAGGCACACTGGAACAACCACGTTTTCATAGCTGATGTTTTTTAAATGTTAGTATGTTTTAATGGATTTTAACTGTGAATTTTTAATAGTTTATATTTAATTCTATTTTAATGTTTGCATATTTGTATATTTTAAATTGTATGCTAATGCTTTTATGTTAAACTGCTTTGAGTTTCCTTTGAGAAAGATAAAGCGGAATATAAATTATTATTATTATTATTATTTGAAACCAATAAGATGAGTCCACAGCGGATACTCTGCTGGCTGATGTGTTGGATCACACGTCGGACACTTCCCAAATGTCTAGGACTGTGTGATACATCAGCAAATAATGCCTGCAGATCCCAGCAAGGTGGCCTTCTGCAGCTGGCAGATGGTAATCTTGTCAGTGCCAATTGTGTTTAAGTGCAGGCCAAGGTCTTTAGGCACTGCACCCAGTGTACCGATCACTGGCTTGTGGAAGAGTATTTTCAGTTTGATAAATTATTATTATTATTATTAGACAGCATAGTCAGTTGAAATAAATTCAGAATGCTGGAAGCTGCAGTCAACAACATTTGGAGCATAACATGATTTCCACTCCTGCCTTACAGTTGTGTTAGTGTGCATATGTAGTGAATCACTATTAAGCTATCAATTGTTGAGCATTGAACACACTGAGATAAACCTCCCCACAACTGCACCAAAAAAAAGTAAACCAAACTGCACCCAGGGAATTTACAACCCAAATCAATCCCTCTGACAGTTTGAGTGAGCCTTGTGAGAAATTGCATGTAACTTCTCTGTCTTTTCACACAAAAAATAATTCTGCAAAATCCTATTAACCTTTAGCTGACTACTCCTTCACCTTGGGATTTTAAAGACACTTGTGTGGTGACTATTGTAGTCCTAACGATCAAAATCCGCTCCTATGTTCAAACCTCCCTGGTTCCTGCTACTTCACAATACAGATGTTTTGTTGTGTAATTTCTTTACAGACGAATGCTATTCAGATACCCAGTGGAAAGACAAAATTATCAGCCTATGCAAGGGGAAACGGAAATGGAATTGTATACTCTTGACAAGGTAGGAACATATTATTTCCTGCATGAAAGAGAAAGGTCAAGCTAGCCAGGAACTGTGCAATTCAATTAGAGGACACAAAGAAAGAATTCAGGTTTGAAAGGCTGAAGAGTGCAACCTGTGGGGGAGGACAAGGTAAAAAAGATTTGTACAATTAATCGGAAAGGTTTAGTCACCATGTTCTGTAGCAGTAAATCAGCGAGCAGTAGAAGAGTTTTTGGCAAGGAAAAATATGATTTGTAAAGACATTGTTTATTTAATGGGTTCTTTAAAAAAAACAAGAAGAATATATGTAAACAACTATAGGTAGTCGAAGGCTTCCATGACCGGAATCACTGGGTTGTAGGTTTTTTCAGGCTATATGGCCATGTTCTAAAGGCATTCTCTCCTGACGTTTCGCCTGCATCTATGGCAAGCATCCTCAGAGGTAGTGAGGTCTGTTGGAACTAGTAAAAATGATTTATATATCTGTGGAATGACCAGGGTGGGACAAAGGATTTTTGTCTGCTGGAGCTAGGTGTGAATGTTTCAACTGACCACCTTGATTAGCATTTGAGAGCCTGGAAGTGCCTGGAGCAATCTTTTGTTGAGAGGTGTGGAAAGACCCTGGTCTTTCCACAGATATATAAACACATTTTCCTAGTTCCAACAGACCTCACTACCTCTGAGGATGCTTGCCATAGATGCAGGCGAAACATCAGGAGAGAATGCCTCTAGAACATGGCCATATAGCCCGAAAAAACCTACAACAACCCAACTATAGGTAGACTTCCATTGATGGAAATAATTCCATTTCCAGAATCAGCAGAGGTTTCCATCTCTTCTCCCACACCCTCCATCTGCCATCAATGGGATTTTCTTCTTCCTTTTTCTATCATTTTTCCATGATGCTTGGAAACTTTCAGGTTTTCAGGCATGATGGAGAACAGATACATATTGAAAGTGCATGTGGGATACAGAGTGAATTACACTCAACCCCACATTCGCTGGGGTTAGGGGCACAGGATGCTTGCAAAAGTGAAAAACCACAAATAAAAAATATTACTCGTTTTACCTCAAATAACCTGCCCCCAGTGGTGCAGCAGGTTAGACTGCTGAGCTGCTGAACTTGCTGACCAAAAGGTCGATGGTTTGAATCCAGAGAGTGGGGTGAGCTCCCACTGATAGCCCCAGTTTCTGCCAATCTAGCAGTTCGAAAACATGCAAATGTGAATTGATCAATAGGTACTGTGCCTGTACCTTGGGAAGTCTGACTTGGCCACGGTGGTACACGCTCTGGTTACATCCCGTATAAGCTACTGCAAGGCTCCCTACATGGGGTTGCCTCTGAAGACTGCCCGGAAGCTACAACTAGTCCTCACGAGCGGCAGCCAGACTACTAACAGGAGCATGGTACAGGGAGCATACTACTCCTCTGTTGCGTCAGCTCCACTGGCTGCCAATCAGCTTCTGAGCACAATTCAAAGTGCTGGTGTTGACCTATAAATCCCTAAACGACTCCGGCCCAGTTTACCTGTCCGAACGGATTCTCCCCTATGAACCATCACAGTTGTTAAGATCTTCTGGAGGGGCCCTGCTCTTGGTCCCGCCACCCTCGCAATTGCGTCTGGTGGGGACGAGAAACAGGGCCTTCTTGGTGGTGGCCCCTCAGCTGTGGAACTCTCCCCCGATGGAGATCAGATCTGCCCCTTCCCTCCTAACCTTCAGAAAGCTAGTAAAATCATGGCTTTGGGATACTGCATTTGCAGAATGATGATTGAGTCAATAACCGTTGACCTACTGGTGGATGGCGATGAATGTGTGATTTCACTCTGACGGACTGACTTTTTTGTAATTTGTATGAACTGTATTTTAATGTATTTTATATTGATGATGTATATTTGCTTTGATCTTCTGTATTGAATCCTCTGTTGTTAGCTGGCCTGAGTCCCTCTCCGGAGGTCAAGAAGACTGGGTTATAAAAACTCTAAATAAATAAATAAATAAATACTACTTTGGCAGGAAGGTAATGGCGCTCCATACAGCCATGCCAGCCACCTGACCTTGGAGGTGTCTATGGACAACACCGGCTCTTTGGCTTAGAAACGGAGATGAGCCCACTCCCCAGAGTTGGACACGACTAGACTTAATGTCAGGGGAAACCTTTACCTTTACTTTATGTCCTCCAGTATGATTCTCTGGTCAATTTCCAGCAGAACCTGATCAAAAAGTTGTGCTGGAGGACTTTACGTGTATTCCCACTAGGAATCTATAGGTCCTCCACTGTTAATTTCCATGTAATCAAATGCACAAATTATCAAATTCACAAAAGGCAAGCTCATAAATGTGAGGAGCCCCCTGTACATTAATGGATGCTAGCCATACCTTGTTAACATTTTGCCATTTTGGTAGATAAAGTAAAACTATAGTATTATCATCACCATTATTATGTTGTTGTTGTTGAAATAAGTCACCCCTAGTTCTACCATCTTATATTTCATACTGTGGTTTGGGATGAGTTTGATCTTTAGAAACACACCTACTCCCTGAGCAAATACTAATCCTCATCACCAAATGCTGTCAAGGTGGAGATTAAAATGTTAACCTTTGCTGACATTATACTGAGCGCTTGAGATTTGCACCAGCAATCCAGTGCTCTTATCCCTATTGAACTGCTTCCTGAAATAGATGAAATTAAAAGATTAGACTGTCATTCAGACCTGACCTAAGCAACCCAGCTTGCACCTGTTCTTCTCCCTGAATAGGCAATGCCATC